TCAGGTTTATGCTGTCAAGGCTATTGCAATAAACTGCACTGTAAGTTCTACAAATCTTATATTTGGTGTGTGCCACATATCTTTGCACAGTTGATGCTGTCAATGCTATTGCAATAAACTACACTGTAAGTTCTACAAATCTTATATTCGGTGTGTGCCACATATCTTTGCACAGTTGATATTGCCATCTGCAAAGGACAAGTACAGGAAGCCTCAAGTAGGAGGTGGTTAAATTCCACTGAAATTGATAAGCCCCCCTCCCCTGCCAGCCTGCTTGCCAGCTACCCACACTGACACGCACGTGGCCCACTGCTGCAAGCCTTGCTTAAATAACCTGCAGTGAGGCATTGCTGCAACACCTAAATGCCCCTGGGAATGCACGGTAAGCACAGAAAGCGACAGTAGGATTTGCGATGGCTAAAAATAGCCTTAACTAAAGGCCACACAGCTAACATTATTAGAATAAAACTAAACCAAAAAGACAAAGAAAGGTATGCATACATTTCTTTTTCAAACTCTAGCAGCTCTTCAACAAGAGGGGAAAAAAGTGATTTTTAAAGTTGGCCTGGATTTTACGGCCAGCTTTAAAAGTAACATAACAAGGGGCAGACTGCATCATACGAGACGAAAGACGCTCAAAGATCTGGCTATATGGAGGCTAATAACTTTTTAAAGGTCTCGGTTTATTATCTTCTGCTTTGAACCAATTCACAGACAGATGTAGATTAAAGTGGATCTGAATTAGGCTTTCCATGTAGATATAGCAAGGTCATGTTTTAAAAGCAGAATGACGAATTCCCCCCCCCCTTTTGCATTTAGAAGGATAAAGGCTTAAATAAATGCTTGGTTTCATAGTTCCTCTTCTAGCCCAAATAACTAAGTATTTCTTTATCAGTCAGACAGAGATAGCCACCTATATTTAGATTTTAAATGCATATCTAAAGCAAAGCACATGAGTACTGAGAGAGAGAGAGAACCATCTGATGCTCGGCCCACCCCCGTTTCTGCTTACCGAGATATATCGTTAAAGCTGAGGAACAGACGCTGGAGGCAGGGCAACGTGTCTGCATCTTTCTGGAATAAGAGAGTGAGACGGTATCAGTTCAGCATCTGAAGGAGACCCTTCAAACACTCCACTTTTCCGGCAGATGGGAATCCTGCCGGCTGCTATTTACTGTCACCTTCCTGCAGGCCTCTCTGCTCTTGAACCAAGGACTCCATCCTGCTCTGGTGCCGGTGGGAGGATCCCAGAAGCCTGTTGGAAAAATGAGCTGTACTGCTTGCAACTGAAAGAATATTAAGCAGAAAAGGAAGGGAGAGAAAAGGAGGAGGAGGAGGAGGAAGAGGCGGTGGCAGTGACAGCAGGCGCTGGCCTCTTTTTGAGCATCAGACTTGCCGGAAGAGCGCCAAGGTGCTGCCTCAGCTTTTCGGTTCTGGCGGGGAGGGGGGTGTGCCGCAATCAAAGGGGGCATGCAAAGTAAAAGCCGGTTGTATAGCTGTATGGTTCTCTGAAGCGTCAAAGTGCTAACTCATGCATGTAATCATCCAACCAGCAGCGTGGGCACTGCAAGTGGCCGGTTTCAAGCAACACTTCTCTGCTGCTCAGGCAGGCAGAGGAATCCTTCCGACGCCCCATCCCAAGGACAGTGCAGATACCGAACCCTCGCCGCTTCCCAAGCTTGCAGGATACCGTCTCTGGCTTTGATAATGTGGTGGGCAGGGAATGTGTCTCGGTTCATGCAATGGAGACCAACTCTGTTGGGGTGGGGGTGTTGACTGATCACCGCCTGCATGGATATCCATGGATATTCTGCATGGATATGGTGAGGCAACCTTCCTACCTAAGAAAAGTCTCTCATATGCTATGAACAGATAAGGCGGCAGCAAGAGATGCAGGGGTCCCAGAGTCCCTTGTGGTGTTTAGGGAAAGGCTATGGGTCACACATCAGGAGGTAATACATAGCCCTTCTCATTAATAATAATAACAGCAGCAGCAGCAGCAGCAATAACAACAACAACCTTAGAAGAGCCGGAAGGGACCCTATGGATCATTCAGTCCAGCCCCTGCCAAGAAGGCACCTGGGGGGAACCGGACCCCCAATCTCTAGCTCCACAGCCACAGACCTAAGTCACTGAGCTATACCAGAGTTCATGATAGGAAGCATAGTACTTTGAAGGACAGGACTTGTTTGCCATGCGGATTTTTTCTTAGTTTTGGCTTCCCCACACTTCTGCCAAGACTACAAAGATTCAAACCTCCTGTAACACGTGTGCCATGAATAGGATCACAATATCCTCTAACCACCAGTGTGTGCATTCGAGACAACAGAATTGTTACTTCTTTAACACTCTCTAGCTCTCATTTTACATCCATAGTCAAGACAATTTATCCGTCGGCAGATCTTTCCCATCTTCTCTATGCAAGGTGGCAGGGGGACTGTGGGAATTTCAATCCAATTCAGCCACTAAACAAACGGACTTCAAAGCAAATTCTCAGAAACAGATGGCTCAAATGGTTCACAGGACCTCCTCAGGATTCTACCATGTCGTTCAGTTGCCTCATGCCCTCGTTCCTGTCTCTTGGCAGGGCTTACCCTGCATTCCTGGCATGGGAGAAACAGCCAGGCAGTTCGGTCAGCACTCTTGATTCCCTGCAGGCTGACCGTGTGTCTCCTCTGTGACTTGCCGTCTGGAGGCAATGCAGCACATAGGCTCTGCTCCAACTGTTCAGTTACACTGAGTAGCCATCCTAGGCTGGAGCATTGAGAAAAGCCAAAGAAAGGATCTCACCAGGAAATAAACATATGGAGTTATGTACTCCAATGGTTTGCAGCCTTTAAGGCTTCCAGATGTTTTGGACTTCAATTCCCAGAAGCTTTTAGCCAGCATGGCTGATTTTAAGGGACTGTTGTGGGCTGAAATCATCTGGAAGGCCAAGCTTAAGAGCACCACAAGTACTGTTCGCTCTGCTGCCTCAAGACCCTCCAACAGTAGGGTCCAAACTTATTTCTCAAACTGTCTTCCCACTCAAGAACCAACTTAAACTTCCACATGGAAATTAAATGGGGAAACAAGGGGGAATCCTATGCTATAAATCTTTCAACTGGCAGTACAGACTGAATGGCTGACTGAAGAGAAATCCGTGTTCTTTATCAATGGGTCTCACAGACATACCATTGAAGTTCTGCCAAGTCAAGACCAACATAAACACACAGTTAAAGACAGCCGGGAGCATGTCGCCAAGTGTAGCACCTCGGAGCGGCTGCCAGGATCCCAGCAAGCCCCAATGCCACGGCAATGCCTGAGCACTCTGCCACTGTGGTTGGACAGACCCACCATCTACATTCTCCACAGTGCCCCAATGAAGCATCGCTTTAGAGCATGGCGGGAAAATACAATTAAAATCTCACTACCACCAGAGCACACACTCCATTAAGGGCCTCTTCAAACCCAGAACTGGTGCAGAAAACTTTTAGACAACGGATCCAGACAACATTAAACAAAACGATGTGAACACCATAGTCATGAACATTGTAATCAAGAAAAGCGGATGTAGTCAACAATGAAACCAAACCAAGTCAGACAAAACCCCTTGGATTCTGCCACAGGACACGTTTTACAAATCCTGCTATCTCTATGCCAGACTGGAAAGGTCATGCTATCAACGTATTATAAGATTGGAACAAAAGGCATGCATATGCATTATTAATTACCAATTAACAGCCCATCTGGTGGCAGTTTGTAAGCAGTAACAAGAATCCAGTTACAATACAGAGAGAGAGAGATGTTTTCAGAGTCTAAGGATCAAGCAAAGATAGGCAGTTATTGAATAATCTATGCTCAAAAAGAACACAATCCTCACCCATCTTCTGCCAGCACAAATGCTCTCCTGAACAGAAAGAGGAAGTCCCAGTACCACAATCATGGAAAGAGAAAGACAGCACAGTGCTTGCGATCAATAACTGCTCTAGTTATGCCACACCTTATTCCACAATTGTAGTAAATGAGGTGGTGCAATCCTGAGTGACAGTGTTGGCTGTACCACTTCAGACTCCTGAAAGGTGCTTGCCACTTTTTTACACTCCCCGACATTTTAGCAACACCATCCTGCAAGCGTTTGTTGTGATTTTTTTTAAAAAAAGGCACCAGGACACGGACAAAGTTTCCACAACAGTCCTTTCAGTGCTGTGCTTGTCTTCTATTTATACTAAGGGGGTTATGGGGGAGTGGAGGAAGGTAGTAAGAATATTCAAAACTATTTCAAAACCAATTCTGGACACCACACTTCAAGTAGGATGCTGACAAATTGGAACAAGTTCAGAGGAGGACAACAAGGAGGATCCGGGGGCCTGGCAACCAAGCCCTGTAAAGAAAGATTGAAAGAATTGGGCATGTTTAGCCTTGAGAAAAGAAGACAGAAGGGTGATAGGATAGCACTTTTCAAATATTTGAAAGGGACTCATACAGAAGAGGGGCACGATCTGTTCTCGATCATTCCGGAGGGCAGGACACGCAACAATGGGCTCAAGTTACAATAAGCCAGATTTCAACTGAACATCAGGAAAAAACTGTTAGAGCAGTATGTCAATGGAACCAATTACCTCAGGTGGTGAGTGCTCCAACACTGGAGGTATTCAAGAGAAACTTAGACAACCACCTAGCATACATCCTTTGATTTGTATTCCTGCGCTGAGCAGGGGGTTGGACTTGATGGCCTTATAGGCCCCTTCCAACTTCACTATTCCAGGATCCTATGATTTTATCAGAAAGGCTATTATTCATTCTGCCACCCAGAACTCTGATCTCATGCGTTAGACCTGTCTTTCAAAGATGAAATAAGGGCTTAGCTTACTTCAGCCAAGACTACTGAACAGCTTGAACATCAATTTCACAGCAACTGGTAGCAAAAAAAGAAATATGCACAGAATTCACAGCATACATGAGGGCTACTGCCACTGTTGGGAATACATTTTCCTTCTCACATCACATACAAGCAGCCTCTTAAGACCTGTCAAATCTGTACCTCTGATAACATTAATTTTTGCAAGGAGAGGTCATGCATCACTACAGAGGAATCTGCCCCCAGCCAACAAAAGACACTCGTAAGAGGAATCAGCAAATGGCAATCTGTCTCGTCTAAACATTTTTGGGCAGGCAGGGGGTGGTGTTACTATAAAATAATTAATCTGTAATGAAGGCTAACAAATTGCCTTAGTTGCTTGTAAGTTAGAAGAGCTTTTACTGCTTATAGCAATCATAACTGATTATAGGCCTACAGTTTCTACTTCTTTCAGACCTACATGTAAATTTGAACCTGCTTCCCCCTTTATTGCTCATCTATCCCGTATAGCTTTTCTCTCTGCCCATTCTCCTTCAATTCACCTCCTTCCTGAACTCAGCCTCTCCAGATTTCAGTTTCTCCTACTCCTTCTTGTTCTAGTGCTCTCAGAGACCTCTCCACCCTTAAGGGACAGGAGAGCCAAAGGCAGCCCAAAATGCTTATGCCTTCCCGGCCGCAAGAGAGTAACAGCACGACAATCTCTTAGCACTTTGCTATTCTACAAAATGGCATGTTATATGCTATTGCTGGAAAATGAAAATGAGGCATGTCAAACATTGGGATGCTGCAGCAAAACCACAAAAGAAATTGGAAAATTGTTTCTTTCAGTGGCGATACGTTTGACTGGGAGTTCAGCATTCCTCTAGCAAAAGTGCTCAGTCCAATCGCTTACCACAAATCTGATCTGATTATATCGAAGGTTGAGCTCTGTCAACGAATCCAGTCCACTGAGGTTTTCGACATATGTTAAACCGTTCCGGGCAAGATTCAGCACTCTGAGACCACTTAAATGATTAAGGTTTTCAATGATGGCAATCTGTAAAGGAAGAACCATGATTATTTTAACTAGTCCATCGCTGTGTTCCACCAACCCTGAAGGCATCAGGTCCAAATACTCTGTTTCCCACAATTAAATGGTAACATCTGCAGGGTGTCAGAGTGGAGTAATTAAAGGCTTACGGTTGTGCCTCTTCTACACATCCAGAGATCAAGACCCAATGAAACAGTAGGAATGATGCCCAATTAACTGTGCATTCAGCAATTAAATCGAAGAGGAACAAAATAGTATGTGTGATGCAGTCATTGAATTATACTAGTTCCTCTGAGATAATTAGTTACAGAAAGAAAGAAATTTGCCCCAAGAGTATGTACAAACTCTTATTTAGAGCTCAGCATCATATACACTTGGAGAACGGCAAACAAGAGGCTAAATTGTGTGGAACACCACAAATATGGCTTTTTCTTCTATGTTTGCCAACACCAGCTTTTTAAAAAGGGAGTCCCTCCATCTGAAGAACTGAAATCTAGGTTTCATGAAGAATTCATAAGGACGTTATTTATAAACTTCCTCTCTTAAGTGTTAATGGGATTCCTTTATTCATTCTTAGCCTACTTTCCTTGTTTAAACAAACTTCATGCAAACTTAAAATGGTGGCATTAACAACAGTACAAACAAGGCATTACAAATGCAAAATTAGAGAATTACAGTCTTTCACTGCACACCTTGTCCTGCCATAACACGTATCCCAAGGCACCAGACACATTGGCAGCCTCCAGATTATTGTTATTATTCATCACATTTCTAGCATGTCTTTCCACTCCTAGGCAGAGCCCAAAAGCAGCTGAATAAGTGACGGCAAGTCATTTAGTCAGTTTACATTCTCTGCAAGAAACAGGCTAAGTTCACTCTATGTTTAACTCTATAGACGTTTTGAAAAATGGGCAAACTAAAGGTGCCTTCAATTCAAGAAGTCCCACGAAAAAAGGATGGGGGAAAGCAGAGAACCACGGAGGATACTTGGAAAGTTAAAAAAAACAGGGTGTTCAACAACAGAACTGCAAGAAGCATCAGTTGCAGCGTACCTGGTTTCCATGAAGGTCTAAGACATCAAGGCTTCCAAGGTTATCCAGGTCTGTTATTCTCCTTATTCTGAAACATCCAAGGGTTCCCAAAGTATTTTTATTACAAGGAAGGAATGGAGGAACCCATTAGCAGTTCTAATCAACCTATTTGTTTATTTGCTACAATATTTATGTCTGATTTTTTTCCTCTGGATGGACACAAGAAAACATATAGGCCTCTCCTTCGCCCTATTTTATCCTTACAACTAGAGACGGGGGTATTCGTGTTCAAACCGACCACTCACCCTTCCGCTGTTGCGGGCTCCCGGGCTCCCTCCCTATCGCTCCAGAGCTTGTGGTCAATTAGCCACTCCTGGCAGGAGGCGGGATGATGAGCCTCTCTGCCAGACTGAAGAGTAGCTCATCATACAATACACCTAGCCTGTGCCTTCCCTGCATCCTCAGAGCCAGCCTGGAACGACAGGCTACCCATACACACCTCGCTCTGCTTTGTGTGCTGTGTGGCTTGCTCTTTGTTGGACTGTTGGCTACTGTGAAGACAGGGACAATAAGCACCGCGTTTCAAGCATTCGCTGAAGAAATACAGCATGCACACCTTTCATTAAGGTCTCTGGAAATATATTTGCCGCCTGATATAAAAACGTGAAACAGCTCATCGGCCTTCTTTTCCTTTACCTGTTGTTCCCCAACAGAAGGACCCGGAGTGACCTCAGGGTGGAAAGGCCACTGATTTCCTCTATCTGATTATCATACAAATCTAAGAAGATAAGATGCTGCAGGTTGGAAATATTCTGGATCCGAGTAATGCAGTTATGCTGGAGGCTGAGCAAGCGCAGGTGTTCTTCGCCATCAATAATGGGGCACACGGTCAGCTTTTGCCTAGAAAACAGGAAGGGTTTAAAGAGCAGAGGGGAAAAACCCAGAGGATTACTTCCTCATTGAGGCCATGGATGACAAAAGGTGGGGAGCATCAATGGGCAGGCACCCATTTCCAAAGAGAAAGTCCGGCAAGTTCACCTTGCACAAATTAACTTCAACCAAAACGATTGTTACTAGTAACAAAAGAAATCTCTTCCACCTGTTTAGTAGCACATGGGATGCTTTTCTGGAGAACTAATGAAATTTAACAAACGGAATAAGAATACAATAATAAAACACAGATCAAAGTGTTCTCTGACTCCTTTTCCAGCTTACACGTACACACACACACAAAAACACCCTTATCCCATCCCATTCTTCCCACTAGTTTATCTTCTTTCTTTTTACTTAATTACCTGAAAACAAAATATTTAATAATCCCACTAAGGCCTAGGTTCTACTCTTTTTCTTCTTAACAGCTCTTTACATGAAGAGATGATGCTTCTCTTTTTCAAAACTTTGCTCAAAATTAATTCTAAGTTTTTGTCCTTACTGTATTTTAATTATGTTTCCTCTTCTTCATTGCTACGATCAAAGAAATCTTAACAGTTGCCCAGGAAACCTTACTGATCATGTTCCACATTTTGACTGCTGTCTAAGGCTCCAATCCTACACAGCGTGTAATCAAGGAGTAAGTGCCGCTGTACTCTGAGATGCTAACTTCTTCTTTGGAATGTACCAGATTGACCCTAAGGGTTAACTACATAAGCACTATTTATCTCAAACATACTCTAGAAAAATGTCACATGCACCGGCTGCCCTTACCTTTCCAGGGTCAACCGGTCCGAGTGCTGCGTTTTCTCATCCGTAGCACGATGCACCAGGGGAAAAGAGGTGTTCCCATAACTGATACTATCTAATGGAGAGAAACCATATATTTTTAAGCATTTAACTTCAAAAAATGTCAGAAAAATGTTTCAGAAATCACAGCCTCTTTAGTGTTGGTTAATGCATATGCTGACTGGGCTCAAATGCCGCTCAAGACTGAAGTACCACAGTTCCTCCACAGGTGTCCTCCTTGCACACATTTTCTGGGAGGGGCCAACCATGGGACTGCATTGGAAAGGTGCCCCAGAAGGATTCAGCATTGCTGCAATTCTATTTGCAGCCTGTGTTTGAAACCACTGTTAGTGCTAACACAGGGGCAGTAGTCTGATTTGAGAATTCAGACCAGATACAACACAAGTCACATTCAAGCCCATAGTCCCTCCCTCCCTCCGCAGATCATTTTCTGCCACGTAAATGTGGGAAATTAATAATAATGAAGACTCCGTGATAAGGTGACCTCTTGGTGCAAGGGTTAAACTGCAGTACTGCAGTAAAGACTCTGTCTGTGACCCGAGTTCAATCCTGGAGTCAGGTAGCTGGCTCAAGGTTTACTCAACCTTCTAAGGTTGGTGAACTGAGTACCCACCTCACTGAGGGAGCAATGTGTAACCTGCACAATTAAGCTGTAAACTTCCCAGAGAGAACTTTATGCACTATGGGGTAGTATATACTGTAAGCTTTGCTTTGCTTTTGATAGGGCAACAGAGTACTAACCTCATATAGGTAAGTTTTTTTTTAATTAATAATTCAGAAGACAATTGGGGGAGAGGAAAGAATGCAGAAAAGGGATGTTTCCCCAGTCCTGAATACGTTCCCTTTCTGCTTGTACTCTTAATACGAGTCAAGCTTTATATCAAGGGTTCTCAATGCAGGATATGAAATAAAAAGGTGTGTGAAGAGGATAACAAACAAATTCAGGTACCAAGTTCTCATTTCTATTGGAATTCCTGCTTTACTGGACTTCTGGTGAATATTGGCTCACTGAGCTTTCCTCCACCTCCAAAGGTTCTATAAAAGTTCTAACTAAAATTGTAAAGTTCAAGTAGAACTGTCGTGGAAAAAAAAAGGCAGTTCGGGGACAAGGCGAGCCCAACAGCAAGCTACCTCAGTCAAACTGAAGGACTCAGACCAGTCTTTCCCTCTGCTACAGCCTAGCGGGATTCAATGGGGCATTGGAAAGAAAAGTTCAGGTCAGTTACCTGGGATATTTCCACCAACACTTTGACAGCCCTGTTGAATTCTGTACTTTGCAGGGGTAGGGAAAGAGCAGTCCCCAAATGCTGAGAGAGAGCCTGCCCCATATTTTATCTCCAGACTAGGCACATCTGCAAAATTATTTGTTACAGGAACATACAGTTTTTTACTGCGCGATAAAGGACTCAACCTTCCATCTGCCATGGGAAGAACAAAACAAAGGATTAGGATGCATTTACATTTTATGCATTTGCATTAGATTTCTAACACTATTTTTAAGACTAGTTTAATCTGTGCTCTTGCATACAGCCTGATAAACAACAAAGCAATAAAGTATGCATAAAGAAATTATGCTACCTGCTCTTTTTTATGGCTAGCACACATAATTTGCTAAATATGAGTCTGTAAACCAACATTACCTAGTTTTCCTGAATAGCTCTTTTCATGATCATGCTGCAAGAATCTGTTATGATGATATGGCTGCTCTTTGTGCAATCTGAACTCAAGCTGGAACAGAAAACATTACAGCTGCATGAAGTGTACAGAATTTTGGAATGCTATTACTATTAATAGCATGGAATGATTGCTTTCCTTACTCCATTTTCTTGTTCTTGCACTGCTGTAGAATATTTTGAGATTGTTTATGTCAATATTTTAATTAAAAAGAATTAGGAAAAAGAATGCAGGAATAGGAGACAGGGAATTTAACAAACACGATAAAAGAAGTACAGTATAGAAGATTACATCCCTTGCAGTAAACACTTCTAAGAACTAAAAACATACTTTTTGGTTACTCATTCCATATGAAAGTTTTCTATTGCCAGAGGAAATGCACTGTGGTCATAGATATTCATTATGTGCTGTTAACGATGAATCCATTTCCCACTTGAAATGTACCAAGGGGCCACATGCCCCCCCTGTTGAGAGTGGCTGCATAAACAGCAGCAGCCAAACCTCTGAAGAAGTGGTTGGCAGGGTAGAGGAGTGCCATGTAGCTTGAAGAGAGTGTTCCCATCTATTTTTCCACCGTAACATAGGTTAGAAATTCATATACTGTACAAGTATGTACCTAATCCAGAATTGTAACTGCAGAAAAGTTGCCATCTACACATTCTAAGTGATTCCAAGACTGCACATTCTCCCCTCTAACGAGGAGGTGGCAGATAGGAACCACCAAAAATTAAGATGCTGTAACTGATTTCCAAAATCTCAACTGAAGGGCCTTATACAGTATACAAAAATTAAACATTTTTACTAGTGATCTCACTGAGAATAGCTTTCTTCATTGCAGCAAAAAGTGAATGCACACAGTAGAATTCATTGTGCACGACAGTAAGCATGGAAACAATCATGATGAGGATTAACAGGTGGAGAAAAAAACAAAAGCAGAGTTTCATAAGAAGCACAACATAAACACAAGTTGTCACAAAACTTTAAATAAACAAATGGAAACAAAACACTGAACCCAGAACAAGCTGACTCTCAATATTTCAATAATAAAAATCAATGCCTCACAGGTTTGGTTCTTTCAGCAGCTGAAGTGGTTTGGAGAACTAGCTGAAGCCCATAATTGTTAGCCTGCAAATTGAAAACTCATTTTAGTAAGTTCTATGAATAGCAGACATTTGAAACACAATGTAAAGACAGTAAGGCAAACATATCTTATATAGACAAAACAATTTAAAAGCCAATATTGATAAAATAAATATTTTAAACACATAAAGATACAGTATCTGTTTACTGTAAATATTCAGCTTGGAGACTTAGTATTTTTTATGACTGGCCCCTAAGAATTGCTATTATGAGTTATCAACTTGCCTTCTACTTAGGATGACCCCATGAATGATGATGTGCAAAATCTCCTGTCCTCAACCACCCAAGCCTCTGGCTCCATAGCCAAATACCTAACCACAGGTGGTTAGCACTCTGGGCAACTCTAAAACGCATGCCATGACCTTGCCAACATATACATAAAACATGCAACCCATTCTTTTAAATGACAGCAGCACAGAAAATGCCTGTTTGTTTGCGACACACAAGGTCAACCCAGCCCCGAAGAAGCTTGAGGTAGACCCATGAAAAAGACACTCCTTTCCAACTGGACCTAATTATATGTCTGAATACCCTCAGATTGTTGTCTGTTATAGAGATACTTGGGAGTACGGCTGTAAAACAGACACCAAAATGAGAATATTCAGACATATAATTAGCCAGTTGAAAAGGAGCGTGCTTTGCATGGGTCTCACTCAGGCTCCTTCAGGTTGGGGTTGCTTTGCCTGTCAGAAACAAATAAGCATTTTTACACCAAAGTGTTGCAATGCGTTAGGCAGGTGTACCCATTGGCCGCCTGAGTGGAGTTTTTAAATGGATTGTTGTCCCTTATTGCTTCGGATGTGTGTTGTTGTTTTTTTTGTCTTGCTTCTGTTTCCTTTAACAGAGCATTTATTTGACCGTTTTAGAATTTGTATACTCACCATTGTTGGCTTTAATGTTGCCTTTTAACGATGAAAGCCACTGAAGGGTCCTTTTTAAGGGGCAAAAATACAATGGATGTACGGAGGAGATAGATTCTGCACCCACCTATTCCGAGGAAATTATTTGGCTGGGTGTTTAGCATCCATATCTTGCAAAGGGGATTCCCTGCCCTTCCTCCCGTGCAACACACACACACACACACACACACACACACGAGCGAGGGAGAGATCCATCCATGCCACCTCCCTGCCCCTCACAAGGTGTAAAATAAAAGCCAATGACTTCCTAAAAGGGTTCCTAAACCTCTCCAAAAAGCAGGGCGGAAAGAAAGGGGGGGGGAGCTAATATCTGATTTTTTTTCCAGTTTATTTTCCCTATTTATTTTCTATTCTATTTTTGTAAGGGAGGGATTCATCTTCCTAAACCCCTCAAAAAGAAGGGCGGAAAGAAAGAGAGGGGGGGGGAAGCTAATATCTGATTTTTTTCTGTTTATTTTCCCTATTTATTTTCTATTCTGTTTTTGTACTGTATTTATTGTAGTACGATTTATGTAATATTTTGTATTTTATTGTTTATATTATATTGGAAGCCGCCCAGAGTGGTCTTATGGGCCAGATGGGCGGGGTACCAATCAAATAAATCAAATCAAAAGGGAGAAGGTTCAATAGCATTTAAAGGGCATTCAAGGCGAGTGGGGGGGAGCACAGAAACAAAGCCCCTCAGCGCCTGGGGAAGAGGGGGGAAAAAGGCACGGGACCCCGATTCCTGAGGTAAAAACAGGGCTTAAAAGGAGGAGCTGCTATTCCATTCATTTTATATTTCATTATTTTATATTTTATTGTTTTGTTTTATTTTTTTTTTATTTATTTATTTAGGGCCGGCTCCTAGGCAACAAAGGCAAAACACCACCATAGGGATCCATAAAGGCGGCTTTTTCTCCACACAGGCAGAGAGAGAGGGAAAGAGGGAAACGAGGCGGGCCAGCCTCCCTCCCTCCCTCCCTCCCGAGGGACCCGCTCCGCAAAACACCGCCATAGGGATCCATAAAGGCGGCTTTTCTCCACAGAGGCAAAGAGAGAGGAAAAGAGGGAGGGAAGCGAAGCGGGCGGGCCAGCCTCCCTCCCTTCCCTCCCTCCCTCCCTCCTGAGGGACCCGCTCCGGGGCCTGGCTTACCGACACGGCGTGGCCGGGCCTGGTCCCGGCGGCGGGCCGGCATTTGCTGGGCACCATGGCAACGCCGACCCGGCGGCGGCTCCTCCTCGGCGGCGGCGAGGCAGCGGGAAGGAGCTCCGCCCCTTTTTTCTTCCCCGCCCCTCAGGCCGGAAGCCGCGGCGTTAGTCACCATGGCAACACCCTCCCTTCTCTTCCGCCGGCCTCGGAGCCCGCCCGCATTCCTTTTTATTTTTCCCCTCAGCTGGAGAAAAGGACGTCGGGGGAGTGGGCGTGGCCAAGAGGCGGCGGCGACGCGGCCCGCGCGCCTCCTCCTCTCCCAAAGGGCAAGAGAACCGAACGGTATCTATAAACACTTCAGGTTCCCCATCGAACGCGAGGGCGTCGCCCGCGAGAGAAGTGGAAAACGCGAGACTATAAAGGTGGAGGCTAGAGCGGCCGGACGACTCACAGCCGACTTCCTCGTCGGCCACGCGTGGGGGGGTGCGAATGGAAACCGGAAGTGGATGTGGTGGCAGACGTTGGCCCCCGTGCCTCTATGAAGCACAGGGAAACCCCCCGGGAAGAAAGGCATCCCGTGCAAAACCTCACAGCTGAGGATGTGCAAATCCTCCCAGCAGCCGTTCTCGATTTGGGAGCTGGCCCTGCTGTTAATGCAAAAGTATTTGAGGGCTGGCTGGTCTCAAGACGAGCCATCAAGAGCCGTCGGCCTTGCAAAAGACCCGCTCCTCTCACAGCGGATCTGGATTCTCTCCCACCCATCCCAGGCTTTCTCACAGATCCCGAGAGAGGCTGCCTCGCCATGGCAGGACAGGCTCTTGCCACCCTGGCTAGGGATGATGGAGTTTGCAATCATCCAACCCATCTGGACGAGGACACTTTCATAGGGTTTCCTGGGTAAATCAGAAGAACTTCTTAGTTGGGACCCTCCAGCTATTTTTTTTTTTGGGGGGGAGGCAGACACTCCCCTCTCTCCGTGAAGCGCTGAACACGGGCCATGCTGGCTACAGCGCCTGGGAGCCAGGGTCCAAAACATCTGGGAAGGACCAGTTTTTAAAAAAATTATTTTATGTATTTATTTATTTTATTTATATCCCGCCTATCTGGTCAAACAAAGACCACTCTAGGCGGCTAACAATCTTAAAATAGTCCAATAAAAATGTAAATAACAGTTCTAAATCATAAAACACTACATTACAATGCGAAAAACACAAAACATAGAACAGTAAGGAAGAAAGAAAGAAAGAGGTCATGAGTTATATGATGGGAAGGCCTGCCGAAGCATTATTATATATGAATAATGCATCTGACAATAATGAAGGAGGGGATGCAACACACACAGGATAACAGAGATTATATTTCTTTAAAGGTTTTGGAAAGCAAAACTGGTGGTTTGGCAAACTCCCTTTCTTTTGGGGCAGTGACTCACTGCACAGAGTGAGGTCCGTCTGGATCCAGCGCTCACCATGGAAACCCAGGTAATGTCAGTGGTCTGCTCCACCTATTTTCATCTCTAACGGATTGCCCAGCTGCATCCCTATCTTGATGTTGGGGAGCTCACCACTCTGGTCCATGCACTTGTAATCTCGAGATTAGACTACTGTAATGCACTATACCTGGGGCTACCTTTGAGATTCGCCCCGGAGACCGAGGGAGAAGGGAGGGGAGACCCCGAGGAAGAGGAGGGAGAGGAGGACGAGGAGGAAGACGAGGAGGAAGGCTGCCGCCGCAGGCACTGCCGCCGCGGGCGTCTGAGCCTGAGCCCGGCTCCGTTGGGCAGCGGCAGCTGCAGCGAAGACGATGCCGGCCGCGGCTACGGAGGAGAAGGAGGAGGAGGAAAGGACGGGGGCAAATCCAGGTACCCGAAGGGAAAAGGAGGGCCTCCTCCAGCTGACAGCAAACCTCCCCCCCCCGGCTTGGACGGTAGCTCTCCTGCCGCCGCCCCGTCTCCCCAGTCCTCCGGCGGCAGAGCTGCTCCTCGGGCTTCCTCGAGAGGAAGCCTCGAGAAGAATCGGGCCCCCGTGAGCAAGTCCAGCTTCTCTCGCGCTGGGGCCGAATAACGGGTCCACGCCTGTCCTTCCTCTTTGCCCGACGCGCGGGGGGTTCGATCCCTGTGCCTCCCCCGTTTACTCGGGAGTAAGGGGCCCTTACCCCCGGCGTTCAGTGGGGCGGGCTTCTTGGCTTGGAGCCAGGGCGAAAGGGAGGTGGCCCGTCGGGGGCAACCCTG